CCCAGGAGGCGGCGCCCTGCTTCGAGGCGGAGCCGCTCCCCTCGGGCCGTTTGCATTCCCGGGGTGATGCTGGCGGTGCGTCTGCTCAGTGTGCGCCGACCGAGCCCTTGTATCTGAGCCGAAATATAAACATGTCAGGGAGTGATAAAGTACTAAAATAGAGACCCCACACGTGCTGAGCAAGGACTACGCTAAATATGGGAGCTCTGTTTAAAACACCAATCAGTTTCCAAAAACATGCAAACTTTGCCCTGGTTTTAATAAATCGACTAATGTGGAGTTAAAGTTGTTTCAAAAAATCGGAATTAAGCCCATTAACTAGGATAAACTATAGCTTATTTTTGTGCATCGGTTCAGGTTATATTTTCTAAGTAAAAAAAAAATTCCCCAATGTTTTTAAAGTTGTACAAGGAGGGTGAACATAAGTGTTTTTTTTTATGCCTTGATAGGTAATCTCTACACCAGACAAGTCCAAATAGAAGGTGAAACCCTGGCTATTCAGGTTCAAGACACTCCCGGCATTCAGGTAAGAAGGCCTGAGGTGGGTGACTAGGTTGATGGGGAGCCTACTTGACTGTAGAACTGTTAAGTTCTCAAAATAGGAAGGAGAGACATTTGGGGAGTCAGGTGGAGCCTTTTACATGTTTGACACTTTACATGTTCTGCCTGGCTGTTGGTCAGTCTGAACCTGGCTTAATTTGGGAGATTTGGCTGAGGGGCAGAAATCTTCTCTTAGGAGGATTCTACCCAGCAGGAAACACCAAACCAAATACACTTGGAATTGGCAGTTTCCTTTCTTTACATTTCTGTTTTACCATTAAAAATAAAAATCTAGGTATAGTCTCCAAATACTTGGAATCACTTTTTATTGTGGAAAGTTACTCTATAGACAAAAGAGCCATGCTAGTGTGTGTGTGTGTGTGTGTGTGTGTTTTCCCTCTTGAACTGGGCAGTTATCCAGGTTTAAATGCTTCCAGCTCCTATCTTTACTTCCCAGACTTACTGTCTAGCCAGTTAATTTCCCATTTTATGCAACTACAAAGTCTCCCTGCATGGAGTTCTCTGCAGGTCAATTTTCCACTTGAGTGTGGTGAGCTGCACTGTTATTTATTCCAACTCTATGCAGCTGGATCAACATATTGTCAAGAAAGCTGAAGTGTGCGGGGATATAACTTGTTTATGGCCTGCGACCTGGCATTGCTGTCAAGGGCTCTTTTGAATTCTCTATCCAGCCAAGCCAGGGCTCTTTTCCGCACTCGCCACTCACCTTGCCATCACCCCTCTCTTTCCAGGTCCACGAGAACGGCTTGAGCTGCAATGAACAGCTGAATAGGTGCATTCGCTGGGCAGATGCTGTGGTGATCGTTTTCTCCATCACCGACTACAAGAGCTATGAACTCACTGGCCAGCTCCACCAGCACGTCCAGCAGCTCCACCTGGGCACCCGGCTGCCCGTGGTGGTCGTGGCCAACAAAGCTGACCTGCTGCACATCAAGCAGGTGGACCCTCAGCTTGGACTACAGCTGGCCGGCATGCTGGGCTGCTCGTTCTATGAAGTGTCGGTCAGCGAAAATTACAATGATGTCTACAACGCTTTCCACGTGCTGTGCAAAGAAGTGAGCCACAAACAGCCGCCGAGCAGCACGCCAGAGAAGCGAAGAACATCCCTCATCCCCAGGCCCAAGTCGCCCAACATGCAGGACCTGAAGAGGAGGTTCAAGCAGGCCCTTTCTGCTAAAGTGAGGACTGTCACCTCCGTCTGAAGCAGAGGCACTTGGGGGGCTTTGCTCTTCCCAGGAAGAGTCTGTGGTTCTTCCGGTGCGGGCACATTGAATGCTGGCAGTAATTCATGGTTCCAGAAGGGGCTGGAGCAGGGAGGCCAGGAGGGCCTGTGGAACTGGTGCCGAAAAGGAAGCACTGTTCCGAGCAGGGGACAGAACTGATGAGGCTTGGACGAGCCCACGGAGCCACTCTCGGAATATGTGAAATGTACTCCAAGTCTTTTCCTGTGGAGGGGGAGGGGCACAATCACTCCGGATTTTGTCCTTAACTACCTTGTAAATGATGGTCAGTTGTAGTTTCACCAAATATATTGATGTGATTTACAGTGGGAATGAAAGAATAGATTCAGCTCTCACAGGCTTTCCTTTTTTCCTTCTACCTTCTTTCTCCCCCTGCCCCCCAAGGAAGATTTGCATCTCTGGAACACGGTTCCTTACAGAATGCCTTTCTAACCTGAAGGGTACCTGGATTTCTTTTTAAAGAACAAAGACGAAAATATTTCCCCATCCCCCCAAAAAAGGGTGGAGTTTATGGGCCAAAATGTGTACCCAGACATCTGTAAGTTTATATGCCCTGACACGGGGAGGCTGCTGAGTTGGGCCTGTGTCGAGTGGTTGTGAACTCAAACTCTTCAGCCCCAAACTTTGAGTGGTTGTGAGACTGTATACTTTTTAAAAAAAACAAACCTCTTGCATCAGGTACAGGAAAAAAACGTGTCCATTGAACTTGGTGTGATTTGTGTAAATGGCTCATGGCAATGACATTGGGCAGCTTCCCTGGCCTAGCTGAGCCATGGCTTAAATACCAAAACATACAGCGAGTGAACAGATGCACAAATCCCCTACACAGATGCACTTTAAAGCCACTCATGCTTTGGCTTAAATTGTAATTAATTTATTTTGTGTAAAATAAATCTCCTTTTAAAAGAGCAGACATCTGACTTGGTCTTTATTGAGACACTCACCGTTGTCCTTCAGACAAAGAATTACTTAGTATCTTGGGTATGTCGAGGTAGGCATTATGCCTTCCAAGGGTTATGTCTTAAATGTCCCAACCAAAGAGGTGCATTCTGCTATTACCACTTCCCAGATGAGGAAACAGGCTTACAAACAAGTTACACACCTTGTCAGAGGTCACAGCCTGTGTGTGTTGTAAACTGTAATTTGTTAATTTATATTCAAGAATAGCATATTCCTATTACTTTCCTTCATGATCCTCTAGGTAAACCAGGTGCGTCTGGCAATATGTTTTATGCCATGAAGACATCTCAGCTAAGCCTTGAAGATACTAACGCTTCTACACAAGATTACTGCTCCATACATGCTTGATTTGGCAAATCTCTTTTTTTGGGTACACTGCTTTCAAAAAGTGCACTTTGTTCTCATTGTAGAAGCTTAGAGCCATTGACCTGGGCCATTCAGTAGCTCCTCTAGCTCCTGACACAAGAGTATGTGCTAAAACTGCCAGGCCACTCATCTGTGTCCATCTGGGCAGCATCACACAAGCTAAGTGAGCCACCATCTTTGTGGGCAAATAACCACACCTTATGTTTGAGTAGTGCTCTCACATCCCTGATCTCTTTCATTCCTCCAGAGAGCCCTGTGAGGAGGGTGCAGGCGGAAATACTATGTTACAGATGAGAAAAACAGGCTCTGAGCTTTGAGTGATGTCCTCAAATTCACACAGAGGACCTGAATCAGTGTCTTCGGACTAAATTGTAAACTTAAAAATAAGAAGGCCTTTTAAATTGGAAGGCAAGTGAGTGTTTATTTGAGCTTTCCTGTTTCAATTAGGAGACAAAGGCAATGGGTGTTTATGAGAAAGGGAAGGGGAACAATTACATCAATAGAGGAAGGCATTTTTCTACTGGTGCAGATAACATTGTGATGTTAATTCTAAACAATGTATTTAATTTTCAGCCCTGTAATCATCATCTTGTTATCTTTATCCAAAGGTCGTTTTGCTCTGTTTTTAACATTCCAAGGTTTGAGGTATAAGATATGCAAGGCAATTTCTTGGGCAGGGCAGCTCCGGCTCCATTTTAGAGCGGCTCCGTTTATTACTGTTTGCAACATTCAGTGTTCTTATTTCTTTATAAGATTTCATATATGAGATACTGTTGCAAATGCAGGGCCATGGGACAAGGGAAGCATCCAAAATGAATAGTTATTGAAGGCTTACTATGGTATGCTGCCAGACTTTTAAAGCTCTTTTCTCCCGGGGTAAACACCCTGACAGGGCTTTTGGTGACGCCCAAATCTTACCTTATATGAAGGGCAATTTTTTATACTTCAAGCCTAACTTAACCTCGGAGAAGGACGTGTGTATTGGGGGCAGGGAGGGCAGTCACAAGTATCTCCAACTAGCTTCTGCTCACTTTTATTTCTGTTCATTCTACGTGGTCCAGTGAGTGAGAGGTTAATCTTTGTAACCCTAACAATGGTCTCCTACCCCTGTCCTGGAACTAAAGATAGAGAATTTTCCTGCGGGCTTTATCTTGCAAGGGTGCTGAGCAGAGCTGCATTCCGCTTTCTGCTGGCCCGAGGCCCCTTCCCCCCTCCTCCCCACCTGTTCCCTGGTGTGAAGGCCCCCAGCAGACCTCTCCCACTCCCCTGCTGAGCTGAGAGCTGCACCTCCCTGCACTTGACGGTGACCCCTCATTTCCCATTGCGCTGGACTCAGTTTCCCACACTCCACCTTAGAAGTTCACGCTGGAAGGAGCCTGAGAGCTCTATTCCATCCAGAGGGACGGAGTGGTTTAAGGCCAGAGAGAAAGAGAGACATGGAGAGCGGGAAACCACCCAAGCCCCAGTTCTGCCCAGTCTCAGGAGGACATGACTATTTATAGTGCTAGAATACACTGTTTTCTTCTCATGAATTTTAGCTTCATATTTCATTACCTTGGCTCCTCGCATTATTAGTATCTCTTAATCCCTGTTTGTCTGCTTTTAAATTTCTTTTTTCTTAATTTTTAAGATTCATCAGTCCCTTAGACATTTTATAGACATAATTCTTACAATGGACTATGAAGTGGTTATTTCTCCCATTTTACAGAAAAGGCAATTGAGGGCCACAAAGTATACAAGACGGGCCGAAATCCCGTGGCCAGACAATGGCTGGGTGTGGGTTTAGACGCAGCTTTGCTCCCAGCCTGTGTTCTGTAGCCTTCCCTTGGCACACAGGAGGTATTCAAAGTGTTTTCAAATGTCTGAACGATGACCATCAGCACTGAGGGACACCCTCTCCTGCCTGGGAGGGGAATGGGAAGGGGAAGGGAGGGAGGGATGTACGTGTGCGTGGGGATGGGAGGGCAGGGGAGTGGAGAAAGGAAAGGAATTAGAACTTATTGAGCATTTACAATGTGCCATATTATACATTATCTCTGATCTTTTGAAGAATCCTGTGAGAAAGGTAATACTACCACTTCCATTTCAAAGATGAGAAAACTGAGGCTTGGAGAGATTAAATTACCTGCTTAGGGCCACATAGGTAGTAACAATGACTGTTTCTACATTTTGAAAACATATATGCCAAGCACCGTGTGCAGTTTCTCCACACCAACCCCACGCTCCATGTTAGTTCCTCCACAGATCCTGGGAGGGAGGCTCAGAACTCAGTAGCTGGTGCAGCTTTGAAGTGGTAGGTTCAGGATTCTGCGGCCCCCCAGGTCTGTCTGATGCCACAGCCCAGACCCAAGCAGCTGGCCACAGCCTCCCCTCTGCTCCTCTCAGCAAATCCCCCTGGAACTCTCCTCTTTGTCTTCACACACTGGCCCTCCCTGCCCTGGCCCACATTCCCTGTGCTGCTTTTCTCAATCTCCCTGCTGGTACTAGGAGCCTGTGGCTCCTCCCTGGCCCAGGCCGCCTGGCTGCCCAGCCACATCTGCTATTGCCATCAGCCGGCTGCTCGCAGGCCTCCTGTCCCAGCTCAGTAATAAAGACGTCCAGGCAGGGGCGGGGGCCCAGCCCACAGCCCGTCTGCTTCAGAACCGGATCCTTGTCTGTCCTGATGTCTGGCTTTCGAGTTTTCTCCCAGCTGCAAATCAAAACCATTCGGAACACTTTGTTGCCTGCGTGGCTGGCGTGGAGCTGGCTAAACTGTCCCTCCCTCCTGGCCCCTCTCCCCACCCAGCATCCAGCATCGAGCCTCGAGCATCGCCCACCCAGCTAGCCCCTAGCTATGGGTGTATTTACAGTGAGCCCTTCATCCTGGTGAAAAGTGGGATTTCAACATTCATCTTACATTCCAAAGAAGAAGAAACCCAATGTGTTTTCCGGACAAATGAACAAGCTTGTGGCAATTCCCTCAAAACTGAGCAGTTGGGCAACTAACTCCTGGTTCTGCCTCTGCCTGGGGAGTCTGCCCGTGAGTCAAGGCAGGGCTCTCGGGGGATGGCTCAGAGGGAACTGTAGGGCTTTCTTTACTACAATAAATAACCCAGGAACACTGGTGTTTTCTGCACTCCCTTTAGAGTCTAAAGAGAGAAGTTTCCAGCAAGTTCTTATTGTTCCCATTACCCTAACTTGGTGAGAAGGGAACAGGATTAGGGTTATTACTGATGTGGCAAGCTCCCAGCCCCCTCCCTTCTCAAATACCCTCCATCATCTGGTTTTGTCTTTTAAAATTCCTTTTAAAATAGAGATGGAGTTTCTTAATGTTCCTTGGGCAGGGACAGCAGACAGCATTTGTAACGCTGAATTATTTGTTGTTGAGATTCTGTTTCTGGTAACCAGGGTAAAATAAATAATAGTGGTCTTGGGGAAGCTTGATGGAATTCTTTGTTATTGGAATGACATTGCAAAGGAGGGGCCCTGGTGTAAATAGAGCACTTTCCGTAGGCCCTGGCCCTGGGGGACAGCCCTTGGCTGCCGCAGCTCCCCAGCACGTCCACTCTGCTGTGCCCACTATGTTTGTGGGGCAGAAGGTGGGTTTACAAACGTGCAAGTCAGATGCTACGGAGGATTTACACCTCTGTCAATTGTGCTTAAGGACTGGCCTGCAGGCTCCTGCAGGTCTGCATTTGCATGTGCCGGTTTTGGCTCTGGCCAGCCCGAGTTCAGGCCTGGAGAGGACAGCCCCGCATTACCACTCAGCTCGGCTTCTGAGGCCACCTGGGGGCGGGAAACCCCTCAGAGCTGGTACATCCCGAGGAGGCTCAAATGCTCAGCCGCGGCATCATTCTCAGCGTCCACGCGGCTACTTCGTGGCGAACATTAGAGAGAGAGAAGGTTCTGGAGACACGGGCCTCCCATGAACAAGTGTCACTTACTGCGATAATGGTGACGGACATGCTCTCAGCCAGCTTGCATGGGCCACATTCTCAGTGCTTTACAAGTTTAATCCTTTGAATTCTCACAGCAGCCGGCTGCAGTGGGTCCCATCATTGTCACGGAGACCGGAGGTAAAGTCCTGTGTGGAGAGGCTGGGACCAGGCCCTGCTCCTGGCCTCGGGGCCTCGCACTCTCCCTCATGACTCTCCTGTTGAGACCTTGGCGTTTTGTGAGCTGTCTTCCTTGGTGTCCTCAGCAGTAAGTACCCACATTCCTTGGTGTTGGGTGCCAGCCGCTGTTAGGGACGGCTCCCCTCTACAGTAACCCTCTCACGAGGTAGGTACCATTCATTATTACCTGGGTTTCAGAGATGGAGGCCCTGAGGCTTGGAGAGACCCACCCTGTCCTGAGAGGCAGAGCTGAGACTGGAACCCAGAGGCGACTTTGGAGCTCAGTTCTAATCACTGCTCCTCCGCAGGGGGCCAAGAGCAGGAGAGGGCTCAGGAGGCTCTGCCCAGGGCCAGGGGGCTACTTCCTGAGCCCCCTCTTCTTCCTTACGTGGTGAAGGCTCTTTGCAGGATTCATACCAACTTTCCATTACATCCCTGCTTTAAAATATTTTTTAAAAAATCCTCACCCGAGGATATGTTTTTATTGATTTTAGAGAGGGGGAAGGGAGGGAGAGAAACATTAATTGGTATGAGCCCCAACGAGGGATCGAACCTGCAACCTAGGTATGTGCCCTGACTGGGAACTGAACCTGCCACCTTCTGGTTTATGGGACGGTGCTCCAACCAACCGAGCCACCCGGCCAGGGCCATTACGCTCCTGTTTTAACTGGAGAAGCAGCGCTCTGCCCTGTGCCTCCTACCTTCTTATTCAAACCAAACTCTGGTCACCACAGACTCCTTCCCCTCACCTTTCCTCCAAAGCCTTCCACTACCTGGGGGCTTGCCTCGCTCTGCCCTCCCACCAGCGACCAGAGAGACGGAAAAGATGACGATAAACCAGGCTTTGGCACTGCCCTCCACCACTCGGGGACGGCCTTTATTTAATATAGTACTGAGAGCATTTCTGGGACGTAGTCACTGCCTAATGGTACCACTTACAGCCAGGGACTTCTACCTTTTATCATCTCAGATTAGAAGCTTTTGAATGTTCTTGTTGAAAAGAAAAAATTAGTTTGCAAAAATGCATTAAAGCCACAAAAGTGATACACAAATACACATTTGCTGTGAAAAATATTTGAACAACACAGAAGTACATCAAGAGCAAGACCCCAGTGCTGACGGCAGCTTGGTTCATAACAGCGAAGACCTGGAAACAACCCAAGTGTTCGCAGTAAATGGATAAACAAACTGTCCTACACCCGTACGGTGGAACACCATTCATCAGCATGGATGACTCTCAAAAACATTTTGCTGAGTGAAAGAGCCAGACACAAGAGTACAAACTGTATGAGTCCGTTTTTATACAGTTCTAGAAAAGGCAAAACTGATACATGCTTTTAGAAAGCAAACCCGTGTTTGCCTGGGGCTGGAGGCAGGTGAGGAAAACTGACTGTAATGGGGCACAAGGGCATATTTAGAGGCGGCGGGAAGGTCCTGTTTCTTGATTATGGTGACAGTGACATGGGTATACACATGTATTAAGACTCATGGGCCTGTGCATTTCAAACAAGACCATTTTCACTGTATGCAAATTATAGATTAAAAAATTTTTTTGTATCAAAAACAAACAATAGGATTATGAGCTGCAGAGTAAGCTATAATTAAATAGCTATTAAATAAGAACAAATATTTGAACATATGAAAAAAAGAAGAGCAAGACTCCTCCCTTAGCCTTCTCATGCTATACTCCTTCCCAGAGGTAGCCACTTGTTAGCAGTTTGGTTTTTATATTTCCAAAAAGTTCGTTTTGCAGATAGACATATGGTTTAAAACTTAACCTTGAGAGGATACTCACGCAGGGCCCGATCTGCAGGAGAAGCACCCTGTGGCTTCTTCTGCGAGAGCCGCGGGGTCAGGACGCCTCGGGCTCATTCACCACCAGGGCCGGAAGCCAGCAGAGTGCCTGGGCCTGCCAGGCGCTCAAGGGATATCTGGGGATGAATGGAATGGCTGATGAATGAATGCAGATTCGAGACACATAGCAGGGTCCTTAATTTTTATTTTATTTTAGAAAATAGTGACTTCGCTATTTTCTTATTCAAACTTCTAGATTAGCTAAATGAAAGGAGCACCTGAGGTCTCCATTACCGAGCACCATGAAAGAACTGGTATCAGGTGGAAAACATTTTTTGACAAAAAAAATGTCCAGTGTCTGTAAAACCTGCTTTGATTACGTCTCAGAATGATTTCCCACTTCACAGTTTTTTTCATAAAACCAGTGTTTTGTAGAGAATTAAAATGGAGACACGTGTTTTGATTTGTATTTTATTTCCTCCACCTGTTTAATCCACTCTGGACACTGTTTCAGCTTTGTCTTTTTATTACAAACACCTTTTAGAGATGCTAGAAGTTTCCATCAACTGCACACCTACAAATGTCTGATTTAATTTTTGCCAGAATTCTTACATAATTTCACTAGGTGGATTCTAGGTGTTTCTTCTATGGCCAGAAGGAAAATTTAGACTTATAGAAAAGAAAGCTTTATATTTCAATAGAAGCTAAATCACAAAAGTCAGAGGGGTTGGGGTTCAAAAGGAGACTCCCTGGGACCAGATATCTTTATGGGGCCTTCCTCTGGGTGGGGAGGGGACCTTTTACAGGCAGACAGCCCTCCAATCAGCCTCTCTCCCACTAGGTTCCCAGTAGGCTGGCGGCCCTGCCGGGCACTGCAGGCTGGGACAATGCAGCCTTTTGTCATGGAGGCTGATTCACAACCAGAGCTGCCCTGGCCCATCCCCTCTCCTTTCCTCCCCTTTGCAAAAATGTCTCAGATCAAGAGGGAAACAAAGCCTCAGATCCTTTTTGCAAGGTTCCTTCCTCAGTAATATAATCTTAAGGGGGGAAAACAAAACTTTCCTCACATTTATAATTCTAAAGCATGTCTTAAATTCTTTTTGTGCATCTGCGGATCAAAGGGCTTGTCATCTACCAATACTCACCAACAGGCATTTATTTAGAATTACTGACCTTGCAGGTGGAATCAGGAAGATGACAAATACAGGATTAAGAATAAATGGGAATTAGTGTGAATTAGGCCAGCTGAAAGACAGCCAGCACCTTTAGGAGAATGAAAAATAATTTCTTTTTTTAAAGAATCACAGGAATCCAAGCAAACTACTTTGCTGCATGGTTCTCAAGGCCTTGGGACAGAATTCAGTCTTACTGACATATAGTACCAGGGACACTGGATTTGGAGGCATGTCTTGAATGGTAAGAGGTGATGGTATTGGTGTTTCCATCTCGGGTCAGTCTCATCCTCTTAGGAGGTGCTCAGAAGCTGAGGTCTGGATGCAGCCGATCAGTTGCAAATAACAGCTCAGGCATGTCGAGTGGCTTCAGGAGTCGTGTGGACAGAACGATTACCTAACAACAGGAGGGGCAAACACACCACAATTAGGGAGGTCAATCTCGGGTTATTCGATGATAAGAAATAAAATGCAACACATTTCTTTTGGGGGGAGGCATGGAGTGGATGCTGTGGAGAAAAAGCCAGAGGCGGCAGCTTGGATGCCACCGCGTGCCAGTGTTCTGGGTGGAAAGGTGGTCCGTGGACAGCAGGACTGTCTGCAACCTTTACCCAGTGGGCACCGAGAATGGCCGAGCCCAGCCCCTCCTTTCTGCTGAATTGGATTGGATCAGACTGTTGCTTTATGATCCTGTAATTTGACCTTGAGGTAGAGGTTTCTCCCTCCTTCAGGGAGCCTGAGAAGGCACAGCCAAGAGGTAAATGCTGTTGTGGGTGATGATGATGATGATGATGGTATTAATTTCCTAGTACTCCAAACTGGGTGGCTTAAATAACAAATTTACTCTCATGGTTCAGGAGGCCGGAAGACCAAGATCAAGGTGTTGGTGGCATGACTGGTTCCTTCTAAAGGTTCTGAGGGGGCTGCTCCTGCTTCCCTCTTAGCCTCCCCGTCTCCACACTGCCTTTCCTGTCTCTGTGTTCAGATCCCCCCTTTATATTAGGACACAATCATGGAGTCACCCTAATGACCTCATCTTAATTTGATCACCCACGAAGACCCATTTCCAAATAAGGTCATGTTCACAGGTACGAGGGGCTCGGACTTCAACATCTTCCGGGGCAGAGGGACACAATGCGACCTGCAGCAACGATGCAATGACGATGTCAGCTCATGCGCATCGGTGCTTACGACGTGCCAGCACTGAGGACGATCTCACTTAGTAACAGCCATTTGACCTTCATAACCCTATGAAATAGGTTCGTGTATTAGTCTTAGTTTGCAGGTGAGGAAAATAAAGTACAGGAAGGTAAAGAAACTTGCCCGAAGACACACAGAGCGGTAACGTCAGGGTTCCGGCCCAGGCCAGCTGGCTCCAGCACCCAAGTGTCTGCTGGCCGCTTCTTCATGTCAGGGCTCTGGGCAAGGCTGCTTTACGCCCCTGGTCCGCAGGGACCTTCAGGCCCCTCTGGCCTGTCATTCCTGCTTCCCTCATCTGGGCCTTTCCTCGGGGCAGCTCTGTCTCTGCCGCACAGGCGAGCTCGTTCCCCAGGGCTGGCTTGGGGTTGGGGTGTGCTTCGTGAGAGCTGGTGAGGTTTTGCACAGGCAGGTATTGACTGCTCACTAGGTGAGAAAGTGACTATGGGAAATGGGGAAGGAGGTGCTAGAATCAGAATCCCACAGCCCAGCCCCCGAGTGGAGACAGCTGCAAGGTGAGCAGCAGGACCTGTGTCACCGGCCATGCTGCCTGGCTGTGCCTCTTGGGACAGTGAAAGTGGGCACTGCACACTTCACTATCTCCCCCCACCCCCTGAAGCTGTCCCAGGTGGGCCAAACCAATGAACTAATGCCCATGTCCCAGCTCCTGGGTCAAAACCAGAGTCCGCATGCCCCACTGTGGAGGAAAAGCAGACTGGGATGAAATCAAGGTTGGAAAGGAGAGAAAGAAGCACTTTATAACTTTCTTGTTGATTTTAAAAAAAAAGAGGGTTATTAAAATTTTTTCTTTTTATAACAAAAATTAGAAGCAGCTATTTTACTTTTCCTTGAAAGGGAATTATTTAAAAAAATATATGGTTAAAAGTCAGCCCAGTCATGTTTTTGGCAGGAAAAAATACAAAAAATTCAACCTGTAACAATGATGTAATGATGATGTCAGTTAATAAGCATCAGTTCTTATGATGTGTGAACACTGAGGACGATCTCATTTAATAATAGCCATTTAACCTTCATAATAAGCCTATGAAATAGGTCCATTGTGTATTTCACACTTTTCCTTGAATGGCACATGATGAGAGCTTGGGGGCAGGGAGTGAATATTAGCACCCCTATCACTCACACATGGTGTAGGCACCATGGGCACATGTGGCTCTGGAGAGGGCCTCTATTCACTCCTTGGGGTCTTCGAACGTAACAGCTGGTCAAGAATGGTGGCTCCCTCCCCAGACCCCACAGAGCCCAGCTGCACTGCTGATTGGCTGTGCCCTGGGGAAAGTCACTCCATTGGAGCCTCAACTTCTCTGTCCCAGAAGGAAAACAACAGTCCCAAGCTCACAGAGCTGCACAAAGCTTACTACACAAGGTCAAGTGTGCAGACCACAGGAGGCGCTCAGCAGTCCTGAGCTGCTATTTCATTGAGGCTTTGTGGGGTCATAGGCCTCCTTATGAATTGTATGAAAGCTAAGAACTCTAGAAAAATATGCATATGTTCATACACACAAGATTCCGAATATGGTTTCAGGTGAGGTTTGTGGACAACTAGGATTCAAGTTAAGAAACACTCCTGCCCTGTGACTTGCTGGTCCCCACCACCCCCGCCAGCCTCTGTGGTCCTTAGTTGCAGTGCTGAGACGGCAGATCCTCCCTGGCTGAGGTGAGGGCAAATGTAAAGGCTAGACTGAGTCCTTCAGGATGCTTAAGTCTTGGAAGGATTAAGGGACTTGGAGAGGAAAGGCTGCCAACTCAGTTGACGTTGACCCCTCTAGAGCAATGACGACTGAGCCCAGGGAATCCGTCACTCTCAGGCTGTGTGCTGGGCTTCCAGCCATGCTGACAGAGACTCTGGGTTTGTACCTTCCACTGAGCTGGAACCAAAATGAGGCCCCTCACATCTAAACAGTCAGGTAGTTACACAGCATGTGGGCTGAACCAGAGGGTGTCTGGGGCCTGCCCTGTGGAGGGCTGATGAGAAACAGATGGAAAACAGAGGCAGCATGGGAAGTAAGGTGGGGGGCTGTGGAGGAGGGAGAAAGCAGTGCTGAGACCAAGGACTCCTGCGGACAGTAGAGCGGTTAAGAGCACAGGCTTAGGAGTGTCCATGCGGAGCTGGACCCCCAGACAGATGGCTCTGGAGAAATTGCTTTACCACCCTGGGACTCAATGTCCTGGTCTGTAAAGTGGGAACAGTGACGTCCACGTCGCATGATTATTATGAGGATCAAATGTGAGCATATATGTAAAATATTTAGCCCGATGACAGGCTCTGGGGGCTGAAAATGGCAGCTGCTGTTACCATTCTCGCCCTCTACTCGGCTCCTAGCAGCCAGCGGGGCTGGGGCAGCGAGGCAGAGCCATCCTGCCCAAGCGTCAATCTGATCCTGTTACTCGGGCTTAAAATCCTTGCCGCCTCCTCCCACCGCCTCCCCCCTGCCCCTTGAGAAGCCCCCACCTCTTAGAGAGCATTTCGGGACTGAGAGTGGTGGCCCCTCAGCACTCCACACCCAGCCCTTTGCCACCAGCCCCCCACCCTCAGTGCAACATTCTAGCCACCCTCAACTACTTTCAGCTCCACAGCGGGGACTTTGGAGACGCTCTTCATCTAGAGCATGAGTTCCCTCATTCTTTGTTGTTGTTGCTAATCCTTACCTGAGGATATTTTCCCCCCATTGATTTTAGAAAGCGGGAAGGGGGGGCGGGGGACGACACATCTATGTGAGAGACACAATTGGTTGCCTCCTGCACGTGCCCTGACCTGGGCCGGGGATTGAACCTGCAACCCAGGTATGTGCCCTTGATGGGGAATTGAATGCTGGACCCTTTGGTGCATGGGCCAATGCTCTAACCACTGAGCACATGGGGTCAGGGCAGGTCCTGTAATGAGTCAGTGAATGATTAAATGAGTGAATGAAAACAATAAAACAACGAAGGCAGCGGTGAGTTTAGCAGGAGCTTTCCCTAGTAAACGACAGCTCTGGGTAAATTTGTTTCAAATCAATTTAACTAAAAGCCTGTCTGTCTATAATTCCCGTTCTGAAACACAAGCAGGATCGCACTGCTAATGTTCCATTTCCCGTGTAACAGCCGTTGGCCCTTGAGCATTTTCATGTCTTAGGCATCTTTTGGTCTTCGGATTGCTTTTGAATTTTTTCAGAGTTTTTTGGTTTTTGTTTTCAGTCCATGTAACTAATGGCATTTCTGCATTACTTGGCTAAAATAGTCCTTAAAATTATTTTTAAAAAAGCAAATGGGGAAAAAAATAGGCACTCAAAAATGATAAAGAAAGAGCTTAAGAGAGTCTGAACCGGGCCTGTGAGATAGTAAATGTAAATTTTATAAACGCAGTAATCAAATGTGAGATATTAGGCAAATTGAGTGCTAGAGAATTCCTTTCAGAGAATTGGCTTTTCCCAGGCAACCGCAGGCACTGATGGAAACTGCATCTGTGAGGGGGTGGGGGAGGACACCAGGGTTCCCCGAGATCCTCAGAACGGAGCCCTTAAAGTAGCCTTGGGCTCCAGAATGGCACTGGCTCAGGAGAAAACAAGCTGGGGGCCTGGGTCACAGTTGCACCCGCCGCCTCCCACAACCACATGAAAATTACAACTAAAATACAGAACCACTGTCACTCAGAACCTCCTGAAATCTGGCTGAACAGAAGCCCCACAACCAGGGAACTNCGTGTAGCTCATGCAGGGTGGCCCTGGGCAAGGCACTGGCATAGGCTGACTTTGCACCTCCCGGGAGGCCCCAGAGACAGTGCACCTGGTGGTCAGACTCAANCCGGAGGGGCGGAGGCGCGGGCGGATCGGGGCTGAATTGGACACACGGCCACAGGCCCATAACCGGTGCCGTGGGTTAAACCCGGGAGGGCATCTCAGCGGTGGAGGTTTCCCGGAGGAGTGAGGGGTCCCAGCCCCACAGCAGGCCCCCAGCCCAGGACTTCAGGGCTGGGAAGAGACGTCCCCACAACTCCGGGCTGTGAAACCAGCGGGNGAGCTGATTGGCCTGGGGGTCAATTCCTCCCAGGGATGCCAACAGTACCCAAGGCTCAACTACAATAGGACAGTGCACACAGCCCACACAGGGGAGCACCTAGAAGGCCCAGCTCAGGGGACTGGGGAGGCTGAACCACTGGACCCTACAGGACACCTACTACACAAAGCCACCCTACAAATTCCA